CTGCACAGCAGAGGACCAGAGCCAACTCCTTCAACATTAACACTGCCTTGGTCTCCTGCTTGGCCCTTGGCTCTGATCACACAATCATCCTTATACACTTCTGTATATGTGTCTGCTCTGTTACTTTAGGTATCCTGTCTTTACAGTCAAACACTTCATAAACATTCCTGAAGAAGAATGCGAGGTCTCGAACTCTGCAAAATTCCTGGTAAAAAATTGGTCTCTGRGGCATGTTTGCAAGCCTGATGGCTAGCTAATTGGCAGTATGCATCCCACAAGGTGATTCATAAATCAGTCTCAAGTGCAGAATGGTGGAAGCAAGTGTTGCCATTTTGCTCCTGGGACAGTCTCTCTTAACTCATTATTATGGAGTGAAAAGACAGGATTCAGTCCTGGTTTTGGCAGCAATCAATATCAATGTCAGCTTTAAAAACAAATCTGCCCTCAGCCTCCTAGCCTCTCTGTCTGGGCTCGTCTGTCTGCTCTGCGGGTGCAAGATGAAGTGTAAACACATACCCTTGGGTAATTTGGGAACTACCATAATTGGGATCAYAGAACACGTACATTTCAGAATTTGGTCTTTCAGACATGCTTCTCACAGACTGCAAGTATGAGGAGTGTACTGAGAATCCTTTTCAGATTTGGTATTCTCTTGAGATATCCATTACGGCCCATCTTTAAGGGACGCTGCAGGGTTGCAGGATAAGCASAGCTTTAGAGCTGCAGTTTTAGATTTCTCTACTATACAGTTGCTTTCCAGTGGGCCTGTGCTTAGGGGTGATGGAACTGTAGTTCCATGTGTAGTAGTGTAGKGGGTGGTCTAACAAGACCAATGCTTAAGCAAACTTATCAAGTCACCTTGATCAAGCCCAGCAAGCTCAGAAATAGTTCTGAATCCTTTTCCAGCAAGGATCTTCAGGATGTGAAAGGCTGTGCCTCAGAGGAGGCAGACCGAATGTTAGTAGCATTGCTAGTTCAGGAGAAAACCCCACAACAATCTCACATTAAAGTAATGTCATGATGTGCAATGCAATGTAAGCTGGCCCATGATCAATGTAGAACAGAACTACTTTGAAGAAACTAGAGAAATCTTAAATATTTCTAAAATATAACAGTCTGGAGAGCCTGAAGAGAATGTCACATTTCATATTTGAGCTATAAGGTTGCTGCATCAGGGCAACAAATGCCATGTTTCCCTTTTTTTTTTTTTTTCCCTAAGAAGTACCACTAGGCTTTTGAAGATGCAAGGATGAAGACGGTGGTGGGGTTACTGTACTTCCAAAGGCATGACTTGTTTGCACCTTGATATGAGGCTCCCAGATTAGATGAGATTAGATTACTAACATCATATCATTTGGCTAAAATCTACTGCTTTCTACAAAGCAACTACACATAACTCTTTCTTTCCAGTTTTTAATTTAATGTCACATTTTACTGTATAATTAGATCCTCTGTAGTCTTTTAAAATCTTGGCTTACATATTCTTTTGTTTAATCTTTTGTTGCAGACACAAGTTCTGGGCTGCATTAGATTCACTTGCCTTTACAGGCTGCATTCGAAGTGGTTCTCCCTAATCAGCTCCACCTATTTTCACAGCCCTAATTCCTTCCTACTCTTCCACATTCCTCTAACATTTCCATGGTCTTTTTTTTTTTTTTTTTTTTTTTTTTTTTTTGCTGTTGTTGTTGTTTTTGGTGGTTTTGGTTGTGAGGAAGAACTTCTTCACTGTGAGGGTAACAGAGCCCTGGCACAGGCTGCCCAGGGAGGCTGTGGAGTCTCCTTCTCTGGAGGTCTTCCAAACCCGCCTGGCTGCCACCCTGTGCCCCGTGCTCTGGGTGTCCCTGCTGGACTAGATGATCTCTAGAGGTCTCTTCCAACCTTGAACATTCTGTGATTCTGTTTTTTTTTCTAGCCCTTTTCAGCTGAGTATGGCTTGAAGTTAGTGGGACTTTACTGGAACCTGACACCCATAGCAAATATCTGGCTTTCTTACCATATTGCAGACCAGATATTTCTCTGTGACTCATTATTTGGGAGCTTGAGCTCTGATCCTGTGAGCACAGGAAGCTTTCAGACTCAAAATTCAGTGACAATGTGGCAGGATTTGCCAGAGGTCACCGGTGTTGCCCATCTCTGCAGTCAGCTTGACTACCTTCAGCTAAGAGCCTAAAGGCCTTCAGGGCTGCCTTCTGCTGAAACAGAGAGGGAAGTTCTTGTTAACACCGGAACTACAGCACACAGAGCCAAGGCTACAGCTCTCTCTGGAGTAGATTATAATTAAAAAAAAAAAAAAAAAAAAAGAATCCAAACCCTAATCAACGCTCTTTGCTTTTATTTGTTTCAGAACTCAAGGAGTTTGGATTTGTACTTTGTAATGATATTAACATATAATAAAAAATGCTTGCCTGACCATTTTCTCTCTCTCCTTAATCTTAAAATTCTACTTTTATAGCTTTCTTCCCCTTTCCTCAGTTCATCTGGTCTTTTCTCATTTGTATTTGCCTGAATACTGAGCAGGCCTGTGCAGCAAGGCAACCTGCTGCCTTCGCACGTTTTAGCCTCACATCCTCAATTCCCAAGACTGTTCTGCCTTGGTCTGCTTTGCATTTTAAAACAGATGGGAGCTGGGTCCTGCTCAGCTCAGCAGCTCTAGTTTCTATCAAGCAGAGTTGCTGCTGCCCACACTAGCGCAAGCCACAGCGGTCACCTAGGCCAGGCAGGACCACCCGCTGGTGGCAACATTCCCCGCGATAGCAGAAGGGCTGGTGTCTGGAGGCTGCTACTTCTAGAGATGGAAGCAAGACACTGAGAGCTCCCAAATTGCCTGGGAACATCTGCTTACGTCTTAGCCCCTGTATAGACCTCCCAGGTCAACAGTTTTCCTATTCACTGAATAGCTCTAGAATGCAATCTCCAATGTTTGGATATAAGCAAAACACAGGTTATTTTGGATATAGGTATTAGAGGCCTGGGGGCACTTTCAGACACCCCTCTCCCTGCCCACTGGCCAACCTTGGCTCCATCTCAGGCCCAAGACACAGCCCCAGCTCCAGCCCTGCCATGGCCCTGGCCAACTCTCRCTCAGGACTTAAGGTCTTAGGGTGAAGTGAAAGCTGCATAAAATATTTTGGTCTCACTCCACTGTAAAAGCACATACAGACATGGTTGATACTAGAAAAGAAGCTAACATCCCTCTCCCTGAAATTCCTCTTCTCCTTTGGCATGTCTTGAATAAATGGGCTTGTGGTGCTATACCTTAGAGCTCCCAAGCATGCCTGGAAAAATCTATTTCCAATTGGACTGTCATCTCTCAAARCTCTCCATAAACATCCAAAAGCCTGGAAAGTGTGCAGCTGGGCTGCAGAGGTGCTTAGGGAAGGAATTTGCCAGCAAAAGAGAACTGCAGAGAGTTAGAAGCAYACAGAGACTGATAATTTCCACAGAGTTCTTGCTAGCAATGTCTATTTCATATAATGAGAAAAGTAATATTCCAATGCAATCTAATCATCATGTCTCTTCTCCCTTCTCAACCATTTTTAATATAACGATGGAGATTGTGAGCATAATGTATTCGGATCCTGTTGCATTTTGCTTTAAAGCTGTATTGAAATATTGCTAAAGACAGACAAGGAAACACCACCTCTGAGCTAAAGCAATGCACAGCWGAGATGGGCAGACCAAGGAGTGCTTTGTTTTTCTCTCAATGAACTCTGAGTGCAGAAACCTTCTTTAAGTTAGAAAAACGCTTTTATACATTTAGCRGAACAATCCTACGAGCAAGTTACTCTCAGAGGATCTCAGATAACAATCAGAAGGCTTTTATATACACACACAGTCTGTAGCCTGTCCTAAGTTCTGCAGGGAAACCTTGTGACTTTTACCTTTTACCTTCACAGTCAGCTGTATGATCATCTCAGCTAACAGCAGTATAGACACACTTTAATATCATTGAGGTGTTGCACAATGGAGATGTTTACCCCTATGAAGTGACTTATGAGTTCCCAGAAAATCAAAAGGAGATCTCCTAAATTGGAGGATTTATTAATATAYTGTAGAATCACACAGTGATTTGGTGAAAAGAAGTGAGAAGACTAATAGAGTCTTGCATATAAAGATTTTGCATCATTTATTTTGTTCAAAAAATCTGATATGCAAAAATGCTCAAAGCACATCTGCTGGTGTTTTGAAGCCTTCCTTGACTTCTGTCAATTGTATTGCAGAATGGGCTCCGCTCTGCAGCTTGTATCTCCTGTCCTGAACMCAAGTCTGTTGGCTATGGGGAAGTATCAAAATCTTGCAAAGCCATCATACATCTGAAATGAATCCCAGATTAGAGAACATTAAGTGCTGATACATATAAAAAGATGTACTGGGCAAATTTACTGGGCAAATGGAATAAAATTCTAATTGCTCTCATTTTCCTGACGTTTTGAAAAATGCATTTGGGGACATGGAGGTTAGACCCCAGATATCATGGATTAAAGGAGCATAAATTCAACAAGACAGGATTAAATAAACATTAGGGAACTACCTGATATGTAGAGAATACAAAATTTATCATTTTGGTTCAAATTTGCCTATGACTTCCGCCTCCCATTCCTATGGAATTACACAAAAGAGAAATGTCTTTTTTAATCTAAGTCCTTACCGTAAAGATCTTACCAAACTGATCTAAAACAGCACACACTGGCATGAATCTACTTGGACTGTTATCTGAATTTCACTTTCCACAGTTCTAAGTCTTGGAATAAATTCCTACTTCAGGTTTCTGTCAGTATGTGTCTGGCATATTTTCTTGTGCTTAGCTGTGTCTGCCTGTCACTATCAGCTTCCCTTATCAAGTACTTAGTGTTCGACACATAATGATAAAAGAATTAAAGAATAAAAGTATCATAGCTAGTTATTGTACTTACCAGTAACAAATTATATTGGTTATAACAAGTATGCAATGTCTTTTTGAACTCAAGGAGCTGCCTAACTSTAAATCATTAAATACTTACTTCTTTCACGAACCACTGGCAAAAGGCAGGTCCAATCCATTCTCTTGCATGAATCCCACAGTCTATCCAGACAGCTTTCTTGTAAGGCTGTGATCTTTTACCTAACTTAAAGTGTAAATATTCATAGAAATATCAATAGATATCTTGACAATAGTGAGAAGCAAAAATGAAAAAAAAAAGAAAAAAGAGAGTATTAGAAATACTAGAACATTCTGAATCTCTTTCAGGCAGGAAGGAATACAACTTTTTTTTTTTTCTTTTCAATGAGAAATGATAGGCAGGTACACTCAAGCTAGTAAAGTGGATCTGTGGGAAAAAGAAAATGGCAAAGAAAGTCAGATTTGTCAATTCCTCTTTTTCCTATACAAAGTGCAGTTCTTAGCTATCACATGGAGCAGGGTGAGGAAAACCAATGCTACAGGGGTAGCACAATGCAGAATACAATTTAAGAACTCTGCAACAGTGGAAGAAAAGAAAGTACCTTGAGTGTAAGCTTTTTTTTTCTCTTTTATGATGCCCTTTAATTTGTCATCCTAATAATGTGAGTTGATAGTGCTCACTCCAGGGATTTTATCAATAGCTAAAGAGAACTTGCTGAGAAAGGATCCAGAGCTTTCTGGGGTCCACCTCTAAGACAACTGTTTTAGAAGTTGGCTATAAGCACAAAATTTCCACTTCCCTTACATTCAGACACTGGTAATTTTACTTGTCCTATAATTGTCACGTATATCCAATACAAATGAGCAGGATTTGGCTCTTTGTTTTCCAGGTCTTATTTTTGTGTTCTCTGGAGAGCACATGCAGAGATGCTTAGATCATAATAACTTCTCTTTCAGAAAGCTTCATCACTTGTATTTCTGGTGTTCATTTTGTAATACACACAACTAAATGTCTGCCACTGATTCTAGACTTCGATCTGATTAATGACTAATCTTTACCTTGAGTACAAACAGTGGTCTGCCTTCATAGGATTTTCCAACTGAGAACATATGAATAAGATCTGAATGAGTTTCATTCAGATGATACATCCAATTCTGGATCTGCAAAAAAAGAGAAACAAATTTGCTGCTTCAATTTTAGCATTTCTTGGGAAATAGCTGTAATATTTCTATTATTAATCTTAGTTCTTACTTGGTGTATTTTTTTCACTTTTCTATAGGTTTAATATTTGTCTTCGTTTTTGTTTACAAAATTGAACTACCAACGGGCTCTCATGGCTCCATTGTCAGAAGCTGGATGCAACCTTCAGTTGCATGTTTCTTTCTTTCTTTCTTTCCATTTTATTATTGGATATTACTGGAATGCATTTGCTGTTCACTGAAAATCTGGAAATGGGGCTAATCAGACACTTTCATTAAACCTTAAGACTGGAATAAAGAAAGCAGGTTCCTGAACCTTCCTGCCAGAACACAGTATGGTGAACAGGTTCAGTCGGAGAGGAGCACCTGCAGAAGTCAATCCTATTTTTATTTGTTTTACAGATCTTGAGGAGGTGTCGCGTGCCATAAGCTCATCCTAGTGACTTTGTTTTAGAGCAAATTCAAACACCTGGATTTCCAAGAACTCCAGTTCCTGATACTAAAATTCATATACACTATTCAGTCCTTTTGAAAGGGACTGATCTGCTGCCCTACAAAAGGAACTCTTGACCAAGTACTTGCTCAAATCAAGGAAGGCAACAGCGTCACTGATAAATATAAAGTTAGTAAAGGAAAGGCAAAGCTCAAGAAAAATAAAGCAGAAACCAAAAATTCCTCATAAACATCCCAGTGGTGTTTGGCAAGCATCCCTGGGGCCTCACCTTTGTGAGAACAAAATGTGACCAAGTCACGGTGTAAATGGGGTCTGTTATCTCTATATGCTGGTACACTGAAATCAACAGAAATTATTTATACAGCTAGCTTTCGGACTAGTCTGCATCATAAAAGGACCTTTATCTAAATGCTTTTTACTTGCACTCATTTTACTTACTTAAATGATTCAATAAGACTTTCAGCTTCTGAAATCTCTTAATCCACCAGAATTTAAACCTGAAAGACTTATTTTAAAAACAAAACGAGGAAGCTTTCAAAGGCAGTTCCATGTACAAGATAAAAAAGTATTAAAATAATTTATTTTAATTTCATGACATTTTAATTTCATTAAAGGAGCTCACATTTACAAAAGAAACATTTAGGACACTTCTAAAGAACATCAAGCAACTAATTTGAACACAGAATGAAAACTGGGCCTTATTAAAGACAATGTGGTAATAGTTAAGGGGTGAAATAATTTTAACTTACTTCATCCAGCGAGTGATATATTTCATAGYTGTACTCAAGGAGGGACCTTCGATTTCTTTGTGGCCTCCATCCAGATTGTTTTTCTATTGCTTTCTGTAAATCTGATATGAGAATCCTAGATAAAAAAGATAGCTTCTTCAGCATATACTTTAAGAGATAATAGATCTATCTACATACATATCAAAGGAAAGGTTATCATATCCTTCAAATATATTATGGAAGTAACTGTATAATTAGGAATTATATTATTCTACACCAGTAACTTTTATTAAGCAAATTAAAGATTTATAGTCCTTACCTGCTTTGCTGAATTCTGAGTAGTATGTTAAGTACCTACCAGGATCAAGCTCTGTTTGTTCAACTTTACACACATCATTTAATTTCACAACTTCTGCTTATGTGTCTGTGCTCCAAACGAGATTTGAGAGTCTTTATTTACTTTTAAAAGATTGTGTATTATGCATGCTTATAACATTCCAAGGCTCTTAAGTTCCTTAGATCTGAATACAACCTAAACAACTTCGGTGCATTAAGAGCTGATCTGATGTCTGGCCTGTTTTCACGACCATCTGCCTGTCATACAGTTAAACACTGGGCAGAGAAGCCTGTCTTGCTGAAAGCGGCTGCTCACTTTATGCTCACTTAAAGCTTCCTGTCTTCAGAAATTTCTTATAACTTACCCAAACCTCACCCAGTCCAGCTAAGATTTTACACGGAGGTGTTACCTTCAGTTTTTAAAGTTTCATAATAGACTTAAAAATTTAGCTTTCTGCCAATAGTGTGCCATAAACTTAAGTAAAAGAAATCTAGCATTAATTTTGTTGGATAAGCTCTAAGTTATCATCCATCTGGCAGCTGTAGAGCTTTTTACCAGGGTCTGACCATCGATGCCCTGCAGATACCACCAGGACGGGAGGTGCAGAGGCAGAGGGAAGGAACACTTTGGAATTAACAAAACACTGCCCAGCTTCTTTCTAACTCACACCATTCCCATACCACAGAAGCCCATGAAAAACCATGTACTGTAATCTAATAACACGTTTTCAGGTTATTGCAGAGAACATTTGCTCTAGCATTTATAACCTTTGATGCACTGCTTTGCACCTAAGTTCTTCAACTGTCATATTTATAACACATCTAAAATGGCCTTCTGTCCTGTGATTGCCACAAACAGGAACAGCTGCAGACATGTGAATACAACTGGCGGCGGGGGGGCTAGTAATTAGGGGACATTTTTATACAGGAAAACAGAGAAATCATCAGCTCATTTTGAAATGTAAACAAAGATAAAAAAATCAGTGTTGAACCCACATAGCTAAGGCTATATGGCCTCCAAAATTAATTTCCTTATAATTGTTATCATATTTTTAGACAGATTTAGAAAGAGTTTATTGTCAGTGCAAAAATGAAACACTGATAATCATGCATATAATATACAATCCTCTTCTCCCGAGAAATAAATAGTCTTATACGGGACTTTATCCAGGTAACATTTACGAAATCTAGTAACTCATCCATACACTTAAGCAGCTCACTGATATGCCTTTAATGAGAAGATCACTTCTCTTGTCAATTATGAAGCTGATATACTGATAAACACCATATGATAACTATTTAAAAAACACTGTAAGCAAGGTGTGATCCTTCACGTGTCGTTGTGAGTTTGTTCCACTGGAAACAGAAAGTTATAAAACAAGCCCAGCACTTTCCTTTATAACTCATGACTAACACTTGTGTCCTCATTTACAGCCCGCTTGTAAACAAACCCAGTTCCTGTTAAATATAGAGAGAGGCAAAGCACACTGTAGAACCAGCATCAGTAATTACCATCCTGCTCTCAGCAGAGGTGATTTCATATACATTGAAAACATTAAATGACTCCAAAGGAAGACATTTAATTAAAATTGCCTGCCTGGGGGAGATTTTCCATTCTTCCATTAAAATGGTCATTTTGTTGAGGAAGTYTAGCTCTCAGACACTCTAATTGCTAAGTGGAACATACTTTCTGCCACTCGGTGCAGGAGACACAGAAAATGCAACAGGAGCTTACGTGTAGGGGATGCTGGCCTGCTGGAGGGAGGGCAGCAGAAGCTGGGACGCGTTGTGTGGTACTCGCAGGTCGGTGACTGTACCTTCAGCAATGTATGAGGTGCTGCTGGGCTGCCACAGGTCCACCTGTAGTGCAGGAACCAACCTGTAATTCATATGTATTCAGTGTAGCTGGGGAAATGCAGGAGACTGGCATGCTTGAAGTTTTGCAGGCATGCATGCTAGGCATGGTATAGACAACAGAAGCTAGGCTGGTCCCACTGATCATCTCCGGGAACAGAGCGAGTTTTGAGGAACGACTGCAACGAGGTTATTAGAATTCATGGGAGCTCTGCCAATGGGAAAAAGTAATGGGCCCAGGAACATCTCAGAGAGCTCAAAAAAAGACTTCATGCCAACTCCATGCCAGCTTCATCCCTCTCCTCAGGATACTGCACATTCCCTATATTCTGACTCCTGTGGAATCCATAAATCTTTTTGCTTTTTATTTGACAAGATGTCTTCTATTTTCAGTATGACAATCAAAGAAAATTGAAGAGAGGAAGAAAGTGTAGTATAAATCTAYGTTGCTTGCAAAGCATCCCCAAAGTTTTTCACTTTAGAAATGCATCAGAGGTCAGTAACAGAAGGTAACTAATACTTTAAAGGAAGCAATGATCTAACCAATAATTTTATATGAAATGACAGAACAACAGGATTAACATAAGAAAACAATTACAATCTTGTAAATAACATGTTATTTACTGAATAATAGTGCAAYGATTAAGTGTTATCTGTACCGGAACATACTTAAGGGATGCTTTTTTACTTTCTTTGGTTGCCAGATTGGAAATACACTTGGAAATTTTAGCCCAGAGCCTGAATTTTTAAAAAGGTAAGACAGTCTGAAAACAGGGATTTGAAACTCAGGGTATTCTGCACCTGTAGCATAATGGTCTGTTGCTGTTCCGACGTGCCAAAAATAGATGCACAGACTCTTAAATAGAAGTGTGAATAGCTCCTACTCAGCCACTGTGAATCCTGCAGAGTGAACACATGCTAAGAAACCTCCTCCCAGACCTTCTAGGTAGTCATGGGAGTCTATGAAAACAATATCAGCAAAAACCTCTGTGTTAATATGAAAAATGTGTGCATCAAGATCCACAAGCCTCAGAAATGATAAAGTCTCCAGGCTGAATGTAAAGGGAGAAATTTAGTAGGGACGGGTATGTGCCAGCATTTCCTTGATAAATACCCCTCAAATGTTGCTGTAATCAGCTGTAATGGACTACACTAACAGAAGTCACAGGTATAGCGAAGTGTCCCTTGTTCTACTTCCTCTCAAGGTTTTAAGGAAAGTTTCTATTACCTTGATTTTTGGTGGATTTGAAAAGCCCCTTTTTCTGTGCATATAAACTATTTTGAAATACCTATAGCATTTCACCTGATCTTGACATGAACCTTTATCAAGAAGTTGCAATTCTGCATCAGGGGTTTTCTTCCAACTGCTTCTCAAATGGATTTGAGTAACAAAATTCTGATCACTAAGAAGGCCTCTGATGCTGAACCTGCTACTGCTTCTTCAAGCAGTAGTTACTTCAGCTCAGTTACTCCTGCTAAAGGTCTGCTACCTTGAGAGAAATGAAACCAAGGGGTATCCTCTTCCCTTCCTGCCAAAACCACTCTGCTTCCTGCTGCTACAATATGGTCTATGGATCAGTGTGACTGTGGTGGGCGGGCGCAGTGTCTTTTGAAGTCTAACACAGCACTGGCAAAGTTCGGGAGACCTGTGAAGCCGACAGCAGCTGTGGCAGATGGTCAGTAGACACTGATCTCATGAATGAAATGGTGCTAAATGCAGCTTGTAAATAAAGATTATCTCACTATGTTAACACCTTATGTTTATTAGTTTATCTTCCTAATTTTTAAATTAAAGGCTTCCAGTGAAATCTCACCCTTATTCAATATGTTTGATCTCACATATGGTTAACTGGAAATGTGCATTTGATTTATAAGACTTATATCTAAAAATACACTCCACACAGACTAGATTCATTGCTCTTGCAGTAGCAATATGCCAACCAGCTCAGCTTGAGCCGTCTTTGTAACAATAACAATAAATTATTATACACAAGCTAAGAGCAAGTGGAGAATAGCCTGGCCAATTGCAATATTTAGTTATACAAGACCAGAAATAATAACTACAAAAAGGTAAAAARAAACCCCAAAACTATTGTGATATACTTGAAACTTGTCCTTTCTTGACAGACACTCCTTTGGGGTTTTTTTCCATTGTGGTGGAGGCTATAAACTAATCAATATGCACACTCTGGGCCACTACGTTACAAAACTTTTTCCTTTTTTTTCTTTTTTCTTCTTTCTTCTTTCTTTTTTCTTTTTTTTTTTTCTTTTCCTTTTTAAGCTATTCTAATTGTCCTTCACATCACAGGCTGCAAGGGAATTTCAAACCAATCTTCCTTTATTTCTGAATTCAGTGGTCTATTGCATACTGGTATCCTGTGAAAACACAATATATCATGACTGGTATTGTCCTGGTAGTGTGACAAAAAAAAATCCCCTTTTAGAACCACTCCAATTCAGTTTCCTATTTGGGAAGTCTRGTCTCAGCTGAGTCCTGCTTCTTTTCTTTATAATGTAAGCAAAAGATTCAATGCTCATCCAACAGATATTACCTGTGCTGTTGAAAGTACCTCTTGAATTTCTGACTCAATTCTGCTTTCTAAAACATATAATAGGAAACACATTTCTCTACCAGATGTCCTATTCACATCACAGCTTTCAGCTCGTTCTTGGTATGAAACAGAGACAGTGCATGAAATCAGCCAAGGAGAAGGGTGGATTTCAGAGTGGGCATGTTTGGACTGGGCAAAGCAAACCACCCTTTACTCAGTATCAGTTTTAGGAGGGCTCAGCACTGCATCTCCCATAGATAGGACGGGCTCCACTGTAGTCAGCACTTTTCTTTCTGCGTTTGTCTGGCAAGCAGCCCCAGGATTTCCATGCTGTGCTCCACTGGCTAGCAAGGGGGAGTGATATTAATTGCTCCCCTATTCTCAACAGTATAAATATATCAGCTCACACTGGGATAGCTTCCAAATAGTAGCAAATCTGTGCTAAATAGTCTTGTCTCTAGCTTTTGAGTCAGTTAAAACTAGGTACAGGGATAAACATTAGAAAGGATATGAATGCTAAGTTAGCAGAATTCCAAATTTCTTCCAAAATTTAAGACAGTGCAGATAATTTTCCAGTAAGACAAACATTTCATTGGTATAATCCAACATATCACATATATTACGCACACAAAGTTCTGCTGCCTGCCAAAACAGAAATGAAAGCATGCAGTTTTTTTCTTCATTAGTTCCATCTTTTCCTACACTTAGTCCTGTGTTTGTGGAAGTAGAGCCCAAGAAGGAAGGAGTCTCCTTGTGCTTCCTCAGGACACACTGACCACCACACATGTTCTGCACTCTTTTTCACTGAAAGAAATCTTCAGCTTCTTCAAGCCACAGGGCTTAGCTTGGCTCATGCTTTGCAGTTCAAGYCATATGCTTTGGCAGTAGCCTCTAGTTGTTCCTCCCTACCCTTTCATGATGAGGTGTTTAATTGCTCCTTCCATTTAGACCAAAAGGAAGATGCTGAGCACTCATCAGGTATGAGGTCAGTACAGATCAAAGAGCTGACTGTTGCTTCTCATCGGAACTGTGGTAACTCTGCCATATAATTAGGATGTGAGGTGCTCTGTCATGATGGGTGGGTTTTGCACTTAGGCACATATAGAGGTATATTCACATTTAGACACATAAACACCCTCAACTGTGTTGAAACTTATTAGGAACGTTTTCAGTCAGAAATCTSATAGAAGACTGAGGCTAGAAGAAGCAGAAACTATTCTACTCTCACTRTATCGCCAAAAGCCTGATTATCAGAGGCTTCCTCACACATGAAATAAATACAGACATATACATGTATATACATAAACACCCATAGCGCTGAATGGGATGACATCTTAGGCTTYTCTTGGCACATTCACAAAGAAGGAACAGTGTGGCAATACATATGTTTAGTTCTGAGACCGGAACTTCAGCAGATAATTACTTTTCTGCTTACTTATGCAGGAAAAAAAACATTTTTTATCACATTTTAACTTGAATACATATAGCAGCAGCTATCAAAGTGAATAGAAAAAGACTTATTGTTACCTCTCAGAGAAATAAAATGTACTAGTTTCTCCAAAAATATTATATACATTTGGTGGCTGGTAACAACAATTTCTTTATTCCATCTGAGCACTTGTCTCAAGCACAGGTAGAACATCATGCTATTTTAAGTTTATAGATGCAACTACTTTCTGTTTTCAGCAAGGTTTTGGATGGAGAAGATAACCTAAAGAGCTTGAATGTGAAAGACATGGAGAATAGGGCAGAAAGAAAGGGCAGCATTAGTGCTGTTGTCTCTCACACTGGTGGATAATTAATTATCAGCTGTTGTTCAGCTCAAAGCCACAGCACTACTTCTTTGGAACAGGTTCATTGCTGCAAATGTTCTCAAGATCAGGGCTTTATATTGATTTCCTCAGCACCCGCCCCTGCCAATTAGGGAACTTAATGGACACTCCTAACTGCAGCTCTTACTCTTACATGTAGAAGAGTCCAGTCACCAGTAGGAGTGGGTTTTCCCAGCCTTTCCAGAAGGACTTGCAAGGTAGTCATAGCTGCTAGTGCAAAGTAATTTAAGTTTCCGACTTAGCGCTCTAGACATTTAATTGACTCTACGCTTTTAGTATTAATTTGCTTTCCAGTGAGACTGGTAAGAGTAATTGTGCCAATAAAGGGGGGCTGATTCGTTGCACTGCAGYAGCCACAATACAGGCTGGAAGGGAATGTGACCAAAGCAGGGCCTGAGGTTTCTCATTCTGCTGCTCTTTGCGAGACTATAACCAGATAATAATCTTACCCCTCTCCTGCAGTGAGTAATTCTACCCTGGGCTCTGCACTGCAGGAAAGGGCTCTTAGGCTATTCCTCAGGAGAGCCACCAACTGAAAACTCAAGACACAATTACATGGTAATTGAATATCCATTCCTGCAAGTGCAGATGCCACCGGGCTAAGTATATTTGAAAGATATGA